TAGTTTGACAATATTGATTGACAACTCACACTTAATAATATTACATTCATCCATTTCAAAAATTATTTTTTAAATTAATGATCCAAATTTTTATAACACCAACATTGTCAACCATTATTGTTGAGTATAATTGTACAGATAGCATAATTGCATATACTAAATATTTTTTTTCTTCAAATATATATAACTTTAAAATCATAGAGAGAGAGAATGTATTGTGCAAAACAAACATATGCTTTTAAACAATTTGAAAATATTTAAAATTATTCAGTTATAAAATTTTGATCAATACATTGAAAATCAACAGTTAAAACACTTAATTTATTTGTCATTTTAAATATATAGACCATATTTGATTTAGTTTAGACACAAATTTTTATTAAGTTCTAATAAAAATTGATAAAATGTATGGTTGAAAAGTTGATAAAAGTTGTGAGTTCTATGAAATGTGTGATTAAAATTAATTATTGATTTTAACTAAATTTTTATCAACTATTTTAAATAAACTAGTCAGGGGCATAATATAAAGCATATATTTCGAACATCTGCATTTTAGTAATTTTGAAATATATATTATCATTCTTACGATTGTTGACATATAAAATCATCAACAATTCAAATCAAAATCTCCAAATCCTACAATTCATTAATTATGGTAGTTTGATTTTTCGCAAGTATACAGTATCGCGAATAAGTAATAAAGTGAAAAGTAAAATATATGTTCAAGCTAGGATCAATTAATTTTAACTTTAATCGAATAGCAAAACTTGTTTGGAGAATTGATACTAATTAAACTAACAATTTTAGTGATCATATTATAAGCGTTTGTAAATTTAGGTGATAAGGTTACTAAGACCTCGAATCCGGCCAGTGTTCTTAAGTTAATTAAAAACATCTCTCAATATTAATTAAATATATTCTATCATGTGACATTTCTATATCTCTATGAAAAATGCTAACGTATCATTAAAAACGCTAGAACATCTGCAAAGTATAGCGGTATATCTCTATCCTCCTATCAGACTTTATATTGGTTGTTATAAAGTGTTTTCTATCATATTATTTTTCTCAAAATCAATAAAATTCACAATCAATTCAATTGGTGATCATGTTGAAAAGTCATTAAATCATATAATAAT